TGCAGCAGCTGGAACGGAACTAGAGGATGCAAGATGATGTCATTACATGACCGGGAACTCGGTGCTAGTTGTCAGCTGGGGCCTCAGTTATGTACATGGCCTCTTTGTAAATTTTAAGTAGTTTCCTTCTATGGTGTCTCATCCTCCAGGGCCTCAGTCTTCAGAAGGATAGCACAGATTTCTTTACAGGGTGTCTAGGTTTCCCTCTCACTAAAGCAAAAGTTCAATGCCTCTTAAAGCCTGTGCTCAGAAGTTTCAGAATGCAATTTTTATCATACTTTATTGATCAAACAGGACACAAGGTAAGCCCAGACATAAAGAGCAGTAAAACAGACTCCATGTCTTCATGGGAGAAGTGGCAAACACATACAGGGTTGGGAATATTGCTGGCAGCCATATCTGCAGAAAATCTACTATACTGCGGATACTGTGTCTGCTAGTTTCATTGCAAATGTTGTCTGTGGGTTTTGACTTTGCTATCTGGTTGCCCTGTATGTTTGCATGTTGGTATGAGGAGAGATTAAAAACTATGCTGCTGCCATTATGTTCCCAGCATTCCTTCAATTTCTTAAGAAATTACCTCAGAAGAGAATGGAAATTTGGGGTAAGGATACAATAAGGAAGTAAAAACATTCTAAATGGGTCATTCTCCTGAGACAGTAGGAGTAAAGGCCAATAACGCATCTGTGTGTATGAGCCCACGTGTGTGCTTAATCTACCAACACAGAAAATTTGAATTATGCTTATAAGGAATGGAAAGATACTCACCAGAATTGATGGGCAGAGTTGAACTTCCAAATTACTAAGGGAAGGATAAAGGGAATAAACAGAAACTTGACAGGGCCAGCAAATATAAGGAAATTCAAAAGGAGGGAACAACAACAAAGTAGAAAAAAGGAAACAAAGTCCTATGGAAGACACAAAATCATTGATAAATTGAATGGACTGGGTTCTCCTATAAAAGACCAGTTTATTTCCCAATTTATTTTATAAAATAATAACCTTTATACCCAAACTGAAATATATTGCTTGAAAAAGAACTGGAGACAATCTTTCATGAATGTGGATGAAAAAAATTCTAAATAAAATATCAGGGAATCAAATCCAGATATATCTCAAGAAAAAAACACCATAACCATTAAAATGATTCCAAGAGTACTAGTATGGTTTAATATTTATAAATCAGTCAACATAATTCATTACACCAATACTTTAGAAAAGCTACCTAATGCTATCAATTAATGTAAAAAAGTATATGATACAAATCAGTAGCCATTATATTAATAATAGAAATTCAAGATAAAACAGCAATAGAAGGAAACTACTTAAAATTGACAACATCACTTTCCAGAAATTGCCAGACATCAATATGGTGACCAGGAGCAGGGGACCACCAAGTTATCTAAGGAGGGATAAACTGGCTCAGGTCAGAAATGGAGCAGGTCAGATTCCCATGCTTATCAGTATTGGGATTGTGCCTGTGCATAGCCACTACACTCCAGCCTGAGCAAGACCTTGGCTTTAAAAATATATTTTTTTTAATTGCCAGAAAACTTTATACTAAGTGGTAAAATATGTAAATCATTTCCATTAACATTGACAATAAGATAGGGATGTTCTCAGTCACATCTATCGCTCCACGTTATTTTGAAGACTCTATCCCAGCATTGTCCAATACAACTTCCTGCAATGATGGAAATGTTTTTATATTTAGCACCATCTAATATAGTAGCCATTAGCCATGTATGGCTACTGAGCACTTGAAATGTGGGCAGACGACTGAGAAACTGAATTTTATTTATTTATGTATTTATTCATTTATTTTAGAGACAAGGTCTCGCTCTGTTGCCTAGGCTGGAGTGCAGTGGCATCATCATAGCTCACTGCAGCCTCAAACTCGAAGGCTCAAGTGATCCTCCCACTTCAGCCTCCCAAATAGCTGGGATTACAGGTGCATGCCATCATGCGTGGCTATTTTTTATTTAATTTTTTGTTGAGACAGGGTCTTACTATATTGCCCAGTGTGGTCTTGAACTTCTGGGCTCAGGCAATCCTCCTGTCTCAGTCTCCCAAAGTACTGGGATTACAGGTGTAAGCCACTGAGCCCAACCAGAAAGTGAATTTTAAATTTTATTTAACTTAAATTTAAATAGCAGATGAGCCTAGTGGCTACTATTAGACAGCTAATAACAGTGAAAAAAGAAGAAATAATCATAGCAAATGGTGGATGGAAAATATTATCTGGCCAGGCACGGTGACTCACACCTGTAATCCCGGCACTTTGGGAGGCCAAGTTGGGAGGATCCTTTGAGCCCAGGAGTTCAAAGTTACAGTGAGCTATGATCCTGCCACTGCACACCAGCCTGGGCAATAAGGCAAGACCCTGTCTATTAAAGAAAAGAGAGAGAATATTATCTATATTTGATATGACTGTACAATTAGAAAACATAAGAAACTATACTAAGATGCTACCAAAATTGGTAGGTAGTTTTGATAAGGAGTTGGATGGAAGATAAAATTATAAACATAGGTACTTTCTTCCTATATTAGCAGTAAGCACATGGGATTAGCAAAACTAAATCTTAACAACAAAAATATTATAAATATCTAAAAGTAAATTTAACCAGAAAAGATGATAGATTTATAAGATGAAACTATAAAACATCATTGCAGCACATAATACACAATATAAGCAAACAGAGACATCAAATCCCTAGATACAAAGGCTTAATGTAATAAAAACATTAAATCTTCCCAAACTATTAAATAAATGTAAAGACAATTCCAATCAAAATCACAATTGTTTTGTTTTTTTGTGGGGTTTTTTTAGGGGGAAAGGGGTAGCATTAATTTTGAAACATGATTAAATAATTTTAAACTAGAGAATTCCTAGAAAATAAATTTGCAAGAAGAAAAATCCTTTGAAATCAAATAGATTACAGAGACACAATAGAGTCCAGGTCAAGCTACTTATATCTGTGATCTTATACGACAGAAGCAATATTTAATTCCATGGGTACAAGGCAGAGTGTTCCATAAATGGTGCCAGCTGACAATGTTGAGTTTTACCTGATTCTAGGAAACAGTGAAGGTGAAGAAATCTTATTTTTTTAAGGGGAAAATGGCTTTTCTGGGAAATGGCTTACTGCAAAGAACCACCCTTCCCCTATGACTTAGAACTCACAGATGCCCCCTTGTTTACCTATGACAAGGACAGACACAGACCCTCCAAATCTCCATTCTTTGCTAAACTACTTGTCCCCACTGATCAATCGGAGTGAAATGCATTTTAGCCAAACTTAAGCCAGGCTTCTCTCTTTCCTCAGGCTCCTGAACTCTGCTTTCCCCCAGGCCTGAACATCAAAATAAGTGGACTGTCCCCTATGCCACCCTCTTAGCTTCTCCGGGGAATAGGCTAACCACAGTGAGATGCTTTCCTGGCAGACCCCACTGGCCATTTCCCCTCATTTGTGCAGCTTCCTCTCCACACATTCTGCTTATCTCTGCTTGCCTCCTCCTTACCCTAGACAAGAAAAACTTTTTTCTGTTTTGTTTCAAGATGTTCACAGATTTCTGTGATGGCAGCATTCTCCCTATTGCAATAATCCTTCTAATGAAAGTGTCTCCCTATCTAAGTCCGGATTTGTTTTTATTTGACACAGCAGAAACAAAGCTTGATCTTGATTTCATACCATACACCAGAGGAAATTCCAACTAGATTAAAGATTTAAGTAGAAAGAATTAAAACAATAAAAACACTAAAATAAATGTTAAGACTACCTTGTTAGAACTACCTGGAATAGGGAAGGGGAACCACGTGAGACAGAATATACAGAGGCCATAAAAGAAAGCTTAGACATGTCTGATCAGAGACTACATTTTTCTAATTACTGTCAATTATAACCTTAGGACTGCAGCCTAAATAAACTCTTAAGAGTCAGATTACAAGTTTATCTCCACAGATGCAAACCAAGGAAGAGACAGGATCACTCTTCTACCCACCATTGACTATTTGCTCTGCCCCCTTTTTAAATGTTCATCTTATGTAGAATTTCTGAGCACCAAATAGAGCAAGAATACCATCAATTGCCTCACTGTTTAAACGTGAAGCTCTAAACCTCTTCAAAGGAGAGCCCAGTCCACAACAGACACTTTGTGGGCTGTGCTTTTCCCAGGAGTGTCCTCAAAATGCTGGCTTAATATATCTCAATTGAGTGTGACTCCCATTTTCTGCCATTCATTATTTAAGTTAATGTTATATATTCAAGGACAGCTATAAAATGCAAAGGACAAAAAGAGGGGAAAAAATAATGCAATACAATTGACAGAGGGCTACTATCCTTAATGTACAAAGAGTTTGTACAAATTGATAAGACAAATCACCCCAAAGAAAATTGGACAAAGAATATGAAAATTTGCAAGAGGAAATCTAAATGGCCAACAAATAGAAAAAAAAAAATTCTCAATTGCACAAATAGTCAGAAAAATGCAAATTAAAGCATCTAAATGCGACTAGCCCTCAGAATGGCAAATCAAAACTTGGAGCTTTAGAAGAAAACTTTAGCCTTAACATGAAAATCAGAAAAGGTAATGACTGGATTTTGAAAACGAGTCAAGAGGCCCCACCACTGATGTCACACACACACCATGACTCCTGCACAAATCCACGGTCCCTGGCGCAGAATCTCCTCAACCCCCGGCGCCGACAGAGGTTAAATTCTCGCCGCCAGCGACTTCCGCTTCCTGGCCTAAGTCTCACTCGCACGACTCCCCCCGCGGTGACTGCACAGGTTCAGGGACAGCCGAGACACCGGGTGTTTTCCCCCCAGCCGACCGGTCCCTGCCGTGGCCCAGGTCGGAGCTTTCTACAGAGGGGCCGCCAGGTGGGCTCGGAACGCCGCGGGCGCCGGGTCCGGGCCACCGCGGAAGAGGGTCGCCGCCTCCCACCTAGGAGCCCGGCGGGGGCGGGGGCGGGGGCGGGTCAGTCTGCGGGAGGCAGAGGGGCTGGGCGACGTCTAAAGAAGCAGGGGCTCCCCTGGGGAGACCGCCTGAGGCCGGGCCACCCTGAGGGCTGAGCCAGCCAAGTGCCCCACCCGCTGGGGCCTCGGGGATGACTGACTCCTGGAGGCTGTAGCCGAGGGGGAGAAGCTCGGTGGTCGGTGGTACAGTGCTCTGGCCGGTGCCTCGGCCACTGGGAAATGCCATAGGGGAACATCGAGTAAGGGACCGCGGAGTCCGCGGAAGAAATATCCCCTTTTCCAAGATGGCGGCTCCCGTAGAGACACTCCCAAGGGGACAGCCATGTTCCTTGCCTGACAAAGTCACTAAAGAAAATTGGAAAGCACGCCTCCCCTCTGGCACACACGCACACGCACGCACCGACATGGTATAAGTGCACTGGGAATAGTCGCGGGCGAGCGGCCGCTTCCAAACTGACACTGAGCATGCGCACATCAAGTCCTGACGCGCCGGGGTCCCTTGAAGAGTTGCAGGACTTCGGCCTCTGGGAGTTTAACTGAGGCGGATTTAGGGCCAGGCCAGTTAAACAGAGATAGTTATGGGGGTGTTATGACAGGGATTTTGTACTCAGTGATGGTACGCAGAAGGGTAACGGAACTTCTTTCTGGTCACTTATAGGGAGGTGCAGAGAGCGAGTGATAGGTTTTGATAAGGCAAACCCCCATCTATTATTTGGCGGTGTGTCAGCCACTTGAGACCCCGAACCCTAAGGGAAGACACGCATCAGCATAATACTAACCTATTATTTGGCCTGTCAACTCATCTATTACCTGGTACATCAGCATAACACTGAACCTATTACTGAGCCATCAACATAATACTAAACTATTACCAGGTGGGCATTAGTCACCTGATACCCTACCCCTCGGACCACCCCAACTTAACAATAGTGGGAAAAATCAGATAGACCGGGCTCAGAATTTGGTGGCGAGACCGCTCTGAGCACTCGGCTGGCGAATAAACTTTGATACTCCAACTCTACGTGTGCCGCTCGGTTTGTCCTCGGGACCACCCGCTGTAACACTTGCTGTAACGTTTTGAGGGTGAGTGATGGGGTCAGTGGGGAAAGTGTTGGGAACATTGAAGTGGAGTGTGTAATGGCCCTACAGGGTGAGTTTTGTAGGGTCTGTGGGTGAGTGATGCAGGGTCTCTCGGATGAGTAGTGGGGAGTCCGTGGAGTGAGTGATGGGGGTCTGTGAGGTGTGGGATGGACTTTGTTTGGTGGGTGGCCAAGGTTTCTGTGGGGTGAGTGATGCGTTTATTTGGGACTAGTGGGGGGGTTCTGTAGAATCAGATGTGCAGCTTCTTGGGGTCAGTGATAGGTGGTCTTTGGTTTGAGATGAGGTTGTTGCAAAAATATTTTGACTTTGTCAGTCCTACCATATCTTTGTTATTAATTTCTGTCCTTGACTGTCATTTCTCTTTTTTTGTTTTGTTTTGTTCTCATTCTAAAATTCCTAAATTGAATGTTTATCTCGTTGCTATTCATTTTCCTTTATAGTATAAGCATTAAGGTTATGAATTTTTCTCTAAGAACACTTTAGCACCCTGTCACAAGTTTTGATTTGTAGCATTTCCACTATAGTTTACTTCTGTTTTCTAATTTCTGTTGTGATTTTCTCTCTGATTCCTGAGTTATTATGAGATTTTGATTTCCCAAAATGTTGACATTTGTGGACGGAAAAATACAAACTCTGAAGCATTTGAAAGAAGTTTATTCTGAGCCAAATTTGAGGACCATGACCCAGAGCCACTCCCAAGAAGCCTTGAGCAAGTGGATCCATGTGGCAGGGTTACAGTTTGGTTTTATACATTTCAGGGAGGCAGGGGTTACAAGTAAAGTCATAAATCAATATGTGGGAGGCATACATTGGCTTGGCCCAAAAAGGTGGGTCATCTCGAAGTGGGGGCTTACAGGTTACAGGTGGGTTTAAAGATTCTTTGGCTTGTAATTGGTTAAAGACTTGAAGCTTTGTGTGAAGGCTTGGAATGTTTCAACATAAGGAATTATCAGAGATAAGCCTTGGGACACAGATTTGTTGTATAAATTGAGGACCTGCAGGTTTGTCTTGCATACCCTTAGGCCTGTTAATGGGTCACAAAGGATGTCTCCAAGAAGGGAGGGGGGCATGATGAGGCATATCTGACCTCTCTCTTCCTGGCAGACAATTTAGTTTTAGGATATTCCTTTGGCCAAGGGGTCCATTCAGTAAGCCAGTGGGGGGTGAGCCTTAAAATTTTATTTTAGTTCACACATTTTTGTTATTGATTTTTTTTTTTTTTGGAGACAGAGTCTTACTCTGTTGCCCAGGTTAGAGTGCCCTGGTGTCAGACTAGCTCACAGCAACCTCAAACTCCTGGGCTCAAGCGATCCTCCTGCCTCAGTCTCCTGAGTAGCTGGGACTATAGGCATGCACCACCCATGCCCGACTAATTTTATATATATATATATATTTTTTTTTTTTTTAGTTGTCCAGCTAATTTCTTTCTGTTTTTTTTTTTTTTAGTAGAGACAGGGTCTTGCTCTTGCTCAGGCTGGTCTTGAACTCCTGACCTGAAGCAATCCTCCTGCCTCGGCCTTCCAGAGTGCTAGAATTATAGACGTGAGCCACGTCCGGCCTGTTATTAATTTCTAAATTGTGATCATAGAATGTCATCTGAGTGATAATTAGGTGCAGGAATGATGTTTTTAAGTTCAATATATACCAACAAATTATTTTCCAAAACTTATGTAAAATTGGACATATAAAAAGACTCATTCTAAAATCCTCTTAAAAAACACTGGATGTTGTTGCTTTTTTTGTTTGCCCAATTCTGAGGGCCAAACACAAGGGTATCTAGTTTGCCTCTATGTGCATTTTCCTGACAACTAGTGGTTGAACATCTTTTCACATTTATTGGCCATTGAAATGTATTTGTAAAATTTTTCATATCCTTTGCTCTTTTTTTCTTTAGGTGGTTTGTCTTTTATACTAATTTGTGAATATTAACCTTCTGTCATTTATTTTAACTATATTTCCTTTATCTCTACATCTTGAGTTTTGAAAAGTGTCTTCACATTTATTTATTTATTTAGAGACAGAGTCTCGCTTTGTTGCCCATACTAGAGTGACTGCTGTGGCATCAGCCTAGCGCACAGCAACCTCAAACTCCTGGGCTCAAGCAATCCTGCTGCCTCAGCCTCCCGAGTAGCTGGGACTACAGGCATGCACCACCATGCCCGGCTAATTTTTTCTATATATATTAGTTGGCCAATTAATTTCTTTCCATTTATAGTAGAGACGGGGTCTCGCTCTTGCTCAGGCTGGTTTTGAACTCCTGACCTTGAGCAATCCGCCCACCTCGGCCTCTCTCTTCACATTTAATTAGAAAAAAAAAATCATCTAATTAGATATGTTTGTCTTTTTACAGATTCTGAGTTTCTTGTCTTGCATAGTGAGTTCTCCCCATTTCATGCTTAAACAAATATATGCCTTTAATTTTATTTATTTATTTATTTATTTATTTTTGATACAAGATCACACTCTGTTGCCTGGACTAGAGTGCAGTGGCATCATCATAACCCACTGCAACCTCAAATACCTAGGCTCAAGCTATGCTCTTGGCTCAGCCTCCTGAGCAGCTGGGACATAGGCATGTGCCACCACGTCCAGCTAATTTTTCAATTTTTGTAGCGATGGTGGTCTCACTATCTTGCTCAAGGTGGTCTTGAACTCCCAGCCTCAAGAGATGCTCCCAACTTGGCCTCCCAATGTGCTAGTATTGCAGGCATGAGCTACCATGCCTGGCCTTAAATTTATTTTAATATATTTGTTTTAATTTTTAAAGTTAATTTTTAATCCAACTGGAATTTATTTTGGTTTGTGGTAAAAGTTGGGGTCCTTTTGTATTTTCTGTTTGGATAGACAGTTTGCCAGCACCAATCATTAAATGAATACCCTTTTGAACTCGATTAAATGCCACTTTTGTCACATAAATTCCCAAATGTATATTGTTTTATTTCTGAACTCTATTCTTCTGATATATGTATCCACTCCTTTTTAAAGGATTTTATTGACTTTACAAATAGTTTCTTTTTTTTATTTCAGCATATTATGGGGGTACAAATGTTTAGGTTACGTGTGTTGCCTCCCCCCCCCAAGTCAGAGCTTCAAGCGTGTCCATTCCCCAGATGGTGCACATCTCACTCATTATGTTTATATATACCCATCCCCTGCTCCCCACTCCCCTCTGCCTGATGCCCTATAAATGTTATTCCTATACGTCCAATTAGGTACTGATCAGTTAATACCAATTTACTGGTGAGTACATGTGGTACTTTAGAAATAGTTTTAATATCAAATAGTGCTTGTCTCCCTCACTGTTCTTTTTTGTGGTTTTCTTTAATATTGTTGAGCATTTATTCTTCCATATGAATGTTAAAATCATTTTATAGTTTTAAAAATAACCATTAAAAATTATATTTGATAATTTTGTTTTTATAGGTCCAGCACCTTTTTTTAAAGTTCATTCTTAGATATTTTATCTTTGTTTTTGTCATCATTTCGAATAGCATTTCTTTCCTATTTCCATAGGGGAAATCTATTGATTTCCTAATTTTATTTCTTATCCAATCCAATTATCAAATTCTCATATGAATTCTAGTTGCTTTCTGTAGCCTCTTACTTTTCTTAGATATCATATTACATCCAATTAAAAATGATATTCTCGGCTGGGCGTGGTGGCTCACGCCTGTAATCCTAGCACTGGGAGGCCGAGTCAGGCGGATCACTTGAACTCAGGAGTTCGAGACCAGCCTAAGCAAGAGTGAGACCCCGTCTCTACTATAAATAGAAAGAAATTAATTGGCCAACTAAAAAAATATATAGAAAAAAATGAGCCGGGCATGGTGGTGCATGCCTGTAGTCCCAGCTACTCAGGAGGCTGAGGCAGAAGGATTGCTTGAGCCCAGGAGTTTGAGTTTGTGCTTGCTGTGAGCTGAGCTGACGCCATAGCACTCTAGCCCGGGCAGAGTGAGACTCTGTCTCAAAAAAAAAAAAATGATAGTCTCTCTTCCTTTTAAATATTCTGATCACCTCATCTTCTATTGCATTAGCTAGAGCTTTTGGAACAATGTTGAGTGATACTTGATATAGGGTATTGCTATCTTCTTGCTAATGTTAATGAATATAATTTAGACATGTTTTATTTGAAAGTGAAAGCTGTTTATTTATTCATTCATCCATTCAACAAACATTTATTGAGCACCTACCCCTTGCCAGATACTGAGTTTGAAATCCTGCTTGGCTACTTACTAGCTATGATCTTTTTTTTCTAACAGCTTTACTGATATAATTCACCTACCATAAAATTTACCCATTTAAGGATTACAGTTCAGTGGTTTTTAGTATATTCTCAGAATTGTGCAAGCATCACCACAGTATAATTTTAGGGTATTTCATCACCCCAAAATGAAACATTGTACCCATTAGCAATCATTCCTCATTCCTACCCCTTATCCCTAACCACCAGCAACCACTAATTTACCTCCTGTCTCTATAGATTTATCTATTCTACACATTTTATATAAATGGAATCATAAAACATATGGTTTTTTGTGACTAACTTCCTTCACTTAATGTTTTCAGGGTTCATTCATGTTATAGCATGTATGAGGACTTCATTCATTTTATTATTATTTTTATTGTGGTAAGAATACTTAACATGAAATCTACCCCCTTAACAAATTTTTAAGTATACAATACTGTTAATTATAGGCACATTGTACAGCAGATCTCTAGAACTTATTCATCTTGTATACCCAAAACTTTATACCCATTGAACAACACCTTCCTCTTTCCCCCTCCTTTCAGCCCCTGGCAACCACCATTCTACTATTTCTGAGTTTAACTATTTTAGAAGTACTTCACTCCTTCTTATTACTGAATAATATTTCATTGTATGGATATACCACATTGTATTTATCCATTCATCAGTAGATGTACATTTGGATTGTTTCTACTTTTTAGCTATTATGAATAATGCTGCTATGAGGATTTGTGTA